ACGCACGTAAACATGCATCATACATACATTATAGCCTTCTAAATGCATTGTTCCAACATGGTGCATGATCGACAGCATCGCGCGACAATAGCCATTAGAACATGCTGATACACGAAGCATGTACACGAAGACGGAAGTGTTTAAAAAAAAAGGGGGAAAAAAAGAAAAATAAAAGAAAGAAGGGAAGAAAGAAACACTAAATCCATTCTGTTATCGTGGATGTTATCTTTGTTTGAGTCATGCACGTTATTTGAAGAATTAATATTTCTTGTGCTAAGCCATCGGCTAGATCTCTTACACGATGAATTTATCTTTACAACCGATCAAACGCTTGCTGCACGTTAAGAATCACGCTCTGATTTTATTGACAGAATAAACTTGGCTTGGCTACCCATGAAGATCGTACCCGTTCCTTTTTCCTTGTGCCGTGCTCTGAAAATTTCTCACCCTTTCCCCTCCAGAATTTCACACCCAAATGCCTTTGCATGCACAGAACTACTAATTGCTCGCGTCTTGCTTATGCAGTATTGTCACGAGCAAATAAATTCTACTTAAGACTACTAAAAATATTTGATGTTTCACGTCCTGTCGGCCAATTCACAACCCGCGATACCGAGAAAAGCAAGGCTTTGATAAGTTCGTCCTATTTCAACAGATATGGTTGGCAAATTTTTATTTGTACGAATTGTTAAATTGCATATTTATATAGCAGATATTTGTGCGTTTCCTATGCATTGCGTGCATTTTTTACCTTCAACCATTCGCAATTTATTATTTTTTCCCCCCTTTGCTACCCGATTATTACGTATAAATTATATATAATAATGTAAATTGATTGTATTATGGACTTGAACATTTACATAGAATATAATCGATATACTGAAACATTTAATTCATTGTTTCAGTCATACCGATCGGTAGAAACCTCTTCATCTTTCGATGAATCATAGAATTGCTTATGGTTCTATGTAGCTAGTGGCAAAAAAGCAAAGAACAACAAAATCGAGATAATTCTTTCATAATTTTTCATTTCGAAACAAAAGTTCGCTCGTGAAATTTCGAAGTAGTTACGTTTTTTTTGTAAAATTTTTTTAACACTTGGACTTTTTAACTAAAGAAGAAGAAGAAGGAGAAGATTAATCTTTTAACTAAAGAATGGTGAAACAGAGCACGAAACGCGAAAAAGTTAGCAGTTGACACGGCAAGACACGATGATTTTCACCAACTGTTTTTACCAAATGTTCCTTCGCTTGACAAGGTACGTGTACCAAGGTGGAAAGGCAAAAACTTGTGTTTACGAATGATTTAAAAAAAAAAAAAAAAAAAAAAAAAAAAAAAAAAAAAAAACA